GGAAGGAACAGTCATCATCAAATATATGTATACTGTGTCTACAGTATGATGAGTATAAATGTAGTGCTCATTTTTTCCTATAATCTTCTATAAAGTATATCTAAAATACTCTTGGACGGTTTGAAAATAAATTTGATGCAAGGTTTTATAGATGATTTATTTGTAGTAAAAGTCTTATTGGAATAACTTGAAGTGTGGATTTTTGTTTTATTATTCTCAAAAGATTTTTTTAGTTAAAGAGTATTCTTAGATAAAGTGGATTTTAAATATCAGGTACAGTCAAAAGTCGTTAATTCGGACTCGTCGGGACTTTGGCGATTCCGGATTATCGATTTTTCCGGATTATAGATCATCAGTTTAAATCTGGTAAGATGGCATGCAGAAATTATAAAATTAAAAATATGAAACCGTAATTTATGAAATAATGAACAATTACGATCTAAAGGTATCAAAATTTGCAAAAAAAAAAAAAAAAAAAAAGCTTAATATTTATTTTACTTTATTAAACATTTCTTTCAATGTAAGCTGTTTAAGTTGCTTCGTTTTTTATGTGATAATATATTCTCTTTAATTTTATAAACAGACATAATTTCTTGTTCAGTTACAAAGTTCCGCTGCTCAAGTCTTATAATTGCTGTGTCGAGAATACCGACTAATTTGTCAATCGAAATTTTTTCGTTTTCAATAACCTCTGTTTCTTTCTTCGCTATCGGAAGCAAATTATAATGACGAGGAATTTGATTTAAATCATATCAAAGACGGAGTACATCGAGATGAAATACTACATTTAGTAAGGAATTATAAGCCAAATAAAATAAAAACATCTGTGGTGAAGATAAGGATAGTGCTGACAGATCAACTTCCAATTCATTGCACGCCGCAGCGTTAAAGATAAACAAAGTTTAGATAAACAAACGTTAAAGTTTAGATAAACAAAGGATATGCCTTTATCCATTTTTTGCAGCAATTCCACTTTTTGTTTAATAGACTTCGAAACATACTTTCGCTTTGTAGATCCTTTACATATTAGTAAATATATATCAGAAATTCTATTTGACATAATCGAGTTTCAAGCTTACTTTTATAAAATTGCTCTAACAATCTGCAAAAAATAATAAGCCGAATCCAATTCGAAGATTAAGGAACAACGCAATCTGCAACATTAACTGAATTAGATAATTTTAGATTAGCTTATACCGTCCATTATACATTAAATGCGCATTCGTAAACGTATTTTGCGCACACACATATTCGCAGCCGTAAAGGTCTTACGCGCATGCGTCAACGCTACGCATGCACAGAAAGTTTGTAGCTTTGAGGTCCGGATTATAGATCATTCCGGATTATGGGTGTCCGAATTAATGACTTTTGAGTGTACTTATTTTTAATAAACTGGACTTTCCTGGTTATTAAAATTAATTATACTGGTATATTAAGTATTCTGGCATTTAATGTTAAAAATTATAAAATTTATGAAATGTTAATTATCAACTTAAAATAATTCATTCTCTCTCTTTTTTTAAAAAAAATTTCTATTTGGCAGCCTAACATATCTCTATAAGTAGATTGTAAAATATAAATTTTAGACTTTTTAAGTGAAAATACTAATTTCTGGGCACATAATTTTCTTTCAGTACATCGAATGTTTGATAGGTGTTCTGATAATACATAGAAATGTTGATTTGCTGATTGAGGAAAGGTTTTTAATAACCTCTATAGTGATCTTATACTTTTGTTATTAAAAAAAATCAAAACAGTTAAATTAGAAAACTGGCTTTAACATTTAATTTTTTTTAAATTTAATTAATTTATATATTTGAACCAGAAGTCTGAGAAATGCAGATATTATATATCATATGGTGTGTGTGTATATATATGTATGTAAAATAAAAAGTATGAAAGGAAACTTCTAATTTTAGTTAGCTATAACTTCTTTTATTTTTTATTTAATTTGAGGAATTCCTCTCTCTATCTTAAAAATAGCGCTATAAGTTTAAACTGCATCATTCATATTAATCATGCAGTCCTACATAACGCTCAATGCACCTCTTGCCCAATCAAATAACTGTAAACCAAAACTTTTTAACTCACAACTGAAACTTTTTGACTTCCTCCCCTCATTCTCTGAATTGCTGTCTTTTTTCGCTTATGCTTTCCTCCTGGCAAGACTCTTCTCATCCACACTGCTGCTTTTCTAAGATGTCATCATACTTTAAAACCTGTGTACGTGGAAATTATTGCATTTAACTATGATTGAAAAATATCTTATCTACAGAACGATGATCTGATGTGAATTATCCTGTCAACTAAAATTAATTGTCATGTTTGAATGTGTAGATGAAGGAATCTTGTACTTATAATTTCTTACCTCCGAAGACACTTTATTGTGTAGTTGGAAGGATGAATGCATAAACCAAAAACTTTTAGATATGGCTGTTTCGAAACATAATTTTATTGCAGTATAATTCACATCAGTAATTTTATTGCAGTATAATTCAGATCATCTTTCTGTAGATAAGATATAAATGTTATAATTATCAGTAATTGTATTTTAAATATAAAGTATGCCGAGGGAGTACTGGTTCAGAAACAGAGGCTTGTTTTACCTATGCATAATTGTTCCTTTTACCCTCCTTATATAATATAAAATTTCAAGACTCCCACTTTATTTAATTTGTTATATAGGATTTTTACTTTTTTAATTTATGGAGTGTGAATTTTTCTAAAAATATAATAGAATGTTGTAGTGTAGCTCAAAAGTCCACTTGGGTTTAAACAAGGAATGGAGGCCTTTATAAGTAACTGGCAAAGCAACCCTTAACCACTCATGGAAATTTAATATATGAGTTCGTTAAAGTAGTTATGCCCAAATAGCTGAATATATGTGTACTAGGAGAAAGCTGTAATGTCTTCCAGTTTGTGTAAAATAAAGAAAATTGTAAAATGTTATGATATAAAGCAGAAACCATAGTTTCAATAATGCTATTACAAATGATAAAATATTACTTATAAATGTGAAAATTAGTATGGTCTAAAATTTTAAGATTTATGATTATTCGTAACAATTAATGGGTATATAAAAAATTTATAATTGTGATATTGTGTGTAAAATTTTTTAAAAAGACCTTCCTTCTTCCCTTAAGTATCAATACTCTGTTGTGAATGTTCCAAAAACAAGAACTTTTTACAGTTGGACTCGCATCTTAACAGGACTCAGAAAATGTGCACTTATTTTAAATGAATATATTGCTTAAAATTATTATTGAATTCAACATTTTATGACTTGTAATTTTTTAATTGTTCAAAAGATAATTTTATGTTTTGTATTTTCAAAATTATCTCTCCGATATTTTGCTGCTCTGATGCTTTTTCTCTCAAAAAGGCTTCTCTATCGCTGTGCCTTTTTCTTTCTGAAGGGGGGAACGTGCAAGATAAAAAATATGAAAGCAAACTTTTAAATTTAATTGGCTATAACCTCTTTTATTTTTTAAGTCCAGATTTTCAAATCCATGGTAAATACAATAATAATAAAAACACAAGTGACCCTTACATCTTTGGATTTGCGTTCTCATTGCCAATTTTGAAAACACATTGTTTAACTTATTCTTCAAAAAGTTAACATTGTAGTGTGAACACTTTAGAAGACTTTAGAAATTAACATTGGCCGTTTCATATCAGCCAGTTTCTTGGCAATATTCGCAAAACATTTGACGATGACTCATTCTGATAACAAAACAGTATCAAAATTGAATTTTTATCGAATCAACATGAAGTTTGATAATTGAATTTTTGTTTCAATTTAACTCTATTACTTACAAACTCCTTTTATCTTATTTATTATTTATTTTAGAAGAAGAGTTAAGATAATAAAAAACTTGGTGAAAGTTGTTTAAGTACAGTCAAAAGTCTTTAATCCGGACTCGTCGGGACTTCGGCGATTCCGGATTTTCGATTTTTCCGGATTATAGATCATCAGTTTAAATCTGGTAAGATGGCATGCAGAAATTATAAAATTAAAAATATGAAACCGTAATTTATAAAATAATGAGCAATTATGATCTAAAGGGCATCAAAATTTACAAAAAAAGAGCTTAATATTTATTTGTTTACTTTATTAAACATTTCTTTCCACACGCGCATGCGTAAAGCATACATTACGCATAGCCGAAATTCAAAAATTGCAACCAGAAAACTATTTGATTTGTATTCATGATATTTATAATGACGAGGAATTTGATTTAAATCATATCAAACACGGAGTACATCGAGATGAAATACTACATTTAGTAAGGAATTATAAGCCGAATAAAATAAAAACATCTGCCCTGAAGATAATGATAGTGCTGACAGATCAACTTCCAGTTCCTCCCCCCACCGCGCGTGCAGAGCAGCGTGAAATTGATAAGCAGATTTCGGAACGGTTAGATAAACAAAGGATATGCCTTTATCCATTTTTTGTAGCAATTCCACTTTTTGTTTGATGGACATCAAAACATACTTTCGTTTTGTAGATCCTTTGGGAGCTCCAGCATCGGAAATTCTATTTGACATAATCGAAAGTTCAAGCTTACTTTTATAAAATTGCTCTTACAGTCTGCAAAAAATAATAAGCCGGATCCAATTCGAAGATTAAGGAACAACGCAATCATCAACAGTAACTGAAATAGATAATTAGATAATTTTAGTTTATACCGTCCGTTATACATTAAACGCACACGCGAAAACGTATTCTGCGCTTGCGCAGACGCATATGCGCAGTCGTAAAGGTCTTGTGTGCACGCGTAAACACCTATGCGTCAACGCAGCGCATGCGCAGAAAGATTTTAGCTTTGAGGTCCGGATTATAGATCATTCCGGATTATGGGTGTCCGAATTAACGACTTTTGACTGTATATGTTTTATGAAGGTGTACCTATTTCTGTTATTTATTTATTTTTTTTTTTTTTTTACTATTGCTTATTTTTGTTGAAAGTTGAATATTTTTTCATCATATTTTGTAGAGGATGGTCCTGAAGTCATTCCTGCCCGTTACTTAAAACAAGAAATCAAATACACAAAAATGGGATTAGATGAGATCGATTTTAATCGTTACAATCGCACAAGTTTTTCTGGCTTGGAAGCCAATTTGCCTAATGCATACTGCAATAATTTGATACAGGTAGTGTGAATTTTTTTTATTGTTTTATTTTCAAATTGTATATTATTGTACATTCACAAACACATGCACACTCACACACATCTGTGTGTGTGTGTGTAAGATAAAAAATACATAAAAAATAAATTATAATTTAAATTAGCATTAGCCTCTTAATGCTTAAAGTAATTTCACCTCTCTATTCTAAAAATAGTTATCTATGCACTGCGTCATTTGCATACTAATCCATGTCATATGACTCTTACTGATAATGTAAATGGAACTAAAACTCAGACAGCTAATAATAATTTCACAGCAGTATTAATTATCCAATCGAAAATGCACTGAGAACCAATATTAAGTGTGAATTAAGATTTCATCCTCAACAGACCTTTTCTAGACTTTGGCCTAGCTGGACTGCTGCTCTCTTCTTATTGCAGAGCTGTCAAAAGTGTAAACTTTTTTAAACAGGCAATTCAGTGAAAAAATTGGTAATCAGTGAATATCTGAGTTAGTTAATGGTTGCTTGTCTGTAAAATATAATAAAATTTATAGTTAATTCCTACTTGAATTGTTGGCTGTTTCAAAATAATTTAAGAAGTCATTGAAACAGTATTTCGTTATGAAACAACAGATGATTAATGGACTAAATTGATCAGAGGAAAAGAATTTGTGGTATGTTTTTAGTTTGATAGGTAGCAAAATTATAAAATAACATATTTTCATAATAAAGTTTGATATTCACTGTTCCATGAGAATCTAGACATTCAAAACAAAGACTGATCATATCAGAAATAAGTATTCAAGATGGAGTTTTGAAAAAGCTGCATCAGGATTTTTGAGCATGGAATTAATCTTACTAAGCTGAAATTAAAAGTGATACTAATTATAAAGAGAATAAATGTGTAAAAATACAGAGTGTTTATAAAGTCCTGGACCTGTTTTGATGTTTAATAATGCATAAAATAATGAAGATAGATTAAAATTAATAACATAAATGGTTATATAGACTCAAAAAAGTTTCATGACCCTTGTCAATGAACTTCCATGTGTGCTCCTTTCATCGCATGGGGAATATCAAGTCGATATTCAATTTCAAGCCAGGTACCGGCAAGCATGTCGGCATCCACAAAGGCTATAGCAGTTGTAATTCTGACTTTTAGGTCATCAATGTTCGACACTCTTCTCCTGTAAACGTTGTCCTTTAGAAACCCCCAAGGAAAAAGTCCAGTAGCGTTACGTCGGGTAACCAAAAACAAAAGAGAGAAAAAATGCAATTAATAAGCAGATGATATTTAGAAAAGTAAAGATATTTAGACTGGAAAATGAAATTATCTGAAATTAACCACACATGCAGACGATATTTACAAAAGTAAAGATATTCAAACCTGAAAAGGAAAATATATAAGTTATTCCGTCAATAAATGCCATAAGTTTGTTTATATTTTCATTATTTTATGAGTTATTAAATATCAAAATGGGTCCGGGACTTTATACTAAATGTTGATAATTTTTCCAGCTAACACATCAATTTTACTTAAGGTCATTTTTCAGATCTCTCCTTGCTGAAATTGCAAGTAAATATTTCCTTTCAGCATTTAAAAGAAAATAACATAAAAACTATTAAATTGTAAATTATATGTAAGTGGTTATTATGATGTGTCGTTAATAATGTATTCTATAACCTAAATAATAAAAACTGTGATTATATTAGTAAGATATGACTTTTTTTAATAGGAAATTTTAAAGTTCTTTTAAATTTACATTTGCTGATATCAGCAAAATTATATGAATTTTCAAACTTTAAAATTCTCTAATTGATACTCTTTAGAGCAACAGGTTTTTTAAATATGCAGTGATTTTATTAATGTTTATTCTTTCTTTTAATAGGTTTTATATTTTATTGAACCTCTCAGATGTGCCCTATTAAATCATTTGTGTCAAAGAGAATTTTGCTTAGCATGTGAATTAGGATTTTTATTTCATATGCTTGACACAGCTCAGGGTTTGCCTTGTCAGGTAATTAATGATTATTATTATGATTTAACATATGTATTTTTATGTGAGCCAGTGAATTTTCTGATGAATTTACAGCAGTGCACATTTTTGTGAAATGTCTTCTGTTTTGGGTATTTACATAACTCTATTTAAATATGTTTAAAATTCTTCAGCTGTCCTAATTTACAAGGTATTATTTGCACTACTTTTTAATGGGGAAGCCTCTCTTCAAAAAGCAAAAATATAGACAAGTTTTTTGGTTGTAAGATATTCTTCTTTAGTCTAATAGTTGTGATATATTTTGAGCATGTCTTTTGGATGACATGAGTCATATATTATTAGCCAAACGCCAAAACATGGTAATGATGAGTATTTGTTTGATAGGAAATTAATAAATCTTTTTGAAAATATGTGTGAAAGTTGTAGTGATAACTGAAAATCAGTTTTGCTTACTAAGTAGTAATTTTGTTTGATTTTTGCAATAATTCATCTTTCTTTCTTTTTTTTTTTTTAAGGCATCAAACTTTTTGCGGGCTTTTCGTACTATTCCAGAGGCATCAGCTCATGGTCTCATTATTAATGAATTAAATGAATCAAAAAAAAGAAGCAATCTACCAACACTGGTGCAGAGTTGGACACGTTTTATGCTTCAGCAGCTCCATACGGTAAGTAGTATTAATATTATGAAATAATTATATTTCTCTCTTCCTTTGGTATTGTTAAATTAATGTAGTTTGTTATGAAATTCATATTAAAATTGCCTTATATTTATTAAAGTAAAAAGCCAGTATACATTTTTCAGTCAGGTCACAGTCTGAAAAATATTTTTAGTTTATTGCATCTCTAGTTTTGCAAGTAAAAGGTCATAAATTTAAAAATGTCTCAAACTAAGATTGTATGAAACATTATTGTTGTGAATTTTCTGAAAATCAGATATGTCACATGAATTTTTCATTAAATAATTAAATTTTAATAAATTGTTGGCTCTTTTGTTATTTATTGGTATTAAAAATTTTGAAGTAAGAATATTGTTAGAATCTATAAAAAATTACACTGGATTTGAAAACAGAAAATTTTAGCAATGAGTGATACATCTATTAAGAAAATTAGAGATATAATAGTATAAGTGCTCCATGCTTAACAGCTTTGTTAATGATGTTGAAAAAAAAGAAGGGAGAAAAAATTATTTAATTAATTTAAAGAAATTCATTCCAGTATTCACCTTTTTCAAATACCTTGTATTAAAAGGGAAGTTTTATGCCATACGCCAGTGTGTGGTGCAGTTTTCTCACATTGAAAAAAAATTGCCATACCTGTATTAAATATTCTAGTTTTATAAACCTTGTAAGATAAATTGTCTAAAGATGTAATACTTTTTTTGCTGATCATGCGGAGGCACGTACTATCATTTAATTTTTCATCATGTGCCAGTGTGTGGTGAGGTATACGTTAATTCTTGGTTTTTGGATTAGTCAGCTTCTGATGAGTTTGCATATTACCTACAAGCAAATGTATTAATCTATTACATTATATCTTTTCCTATGCTTAAGATTTATTACATTAAATTTAATTTAATAGGAAACTTTGGAAGTGGTTGATCACATACTTGCAGATAATAATTCTGAGTAAGTATAAAATATTTCAAAAACATTTCAGAATTCCTTGATTTAAAGATATATATGTGTATAATATAATCATTCTTAATTCTGTCATTTTTGATTGTTGATGTCAAAATTTGTTCTTAAATCTGATTACAGGAGTACATCTGTTATGACACAACTGTTTGGGGCAAAACTGTTTAGTTGTAACAGTTGCCGTTGTAGAAGTGAAACCTGTCAAGAGACCACAACTTTGCTAACACAGTTGCTCTATCCTGATAATCACATGCCAGGTAAACTGATGTACTATTGGGGTATGGACTACCGTCCATTAAGATGGGTTTTTTTAAGACTTTAAAAAATTATCAAGATTTAGTCAAAATGAAAACAGCGGTTAAATAAATCAAATTAGCAGTTGCTATATATGCTGCTTGTTTGCATTCATAGCAAATGGAAAAGATTGCAGATTTTAGTTTGAAATCTGGCTTTTTGAAAATAATAATTATTTATATAAATGGAGAAAAGGGATGGGTTAAATATATCCCTGTGGATGGGTAGATTGTAGGTCAGAGAGCTGCATATTTGCAAAAAAACTTGTATTGAAGATAATAAGAAAAGCTTGTAATTATTTGATAAAAGTGTTAAATTATTAAAAAAATTATTTAATTCATATTCACAAAATTACTTATCTAACCAAATTATGGTTTTATAAAATCATTTTGTTATGCTTAAAATTTAACATCTTCAGAAAAATTTGTCTTATGTACAAGCTACGCATAAAAATAAATTTTGTTATCATTTATCAAAAAAAGAATTAATAAAAACAATATCATCCAACTTTATAAGCCTTCTAACTTATCTACTTTTGCATACTTGCCTTTCTCATACCATATTAAAGAAACTGTCACAGAATAAAGGATTTTAAAGACAAAGTATTTGCTTAGCATCTTATTATTAGCAAGTACTACTTTGCTATTAATTTTCATAAGATGTAAAATTATGTAAGATATATCTGAGACATTTGATTACAACATATTACCAAGTTCAGACTGCTATTCCAAAGTGCAGTGAAAACATATTCGTTTTGAAAAACTTGCCATGAATTCCTGCTACTGCTTATCATGGCTTTATTCCATTTGTTGTCAAGACTCAGATACATAATATTTGTCACCAAGTTTAGTGTTTAAGAACATTCTAGATGGTCATGAAGCTTGATAATTAAAGTTCATACTGATAACTGATTAACATTTTCAAGACTTTTTTTATACATGAAAATTTTTTCTAATAAACACAAATTTCTGCATAAGGCATTTAAAAATTTTTTTCTTGAAACAGATGTTTTAACCTTCATTTAAAAGTGGATGAAAAGGTTTTATATTATTATGTACATCAAATGAATGTTTAGAAATGACACATTAAAGGCAGGGGATCTTGATGAAAGTATGCTAGGTAACGCAGTGACTGCTTTGCCTCGTTTTTCATCCTAGAGCGGGCGGTATTTTGTGTAATAATACAAAATACCGCCGGTGTGCATAAAAAAATTTATACTTAAAGTTTATTTAAACTCTTAATACTACAAGAAATATTAAAAAAGAACTAAGCACTAATTACAAAAAATATTTTAAAGTACATATTTATGAGAAGAATCTAGTATTTTTTATGAGTGTGATAATGTTGATAACACTCGCCACGGTGAAGAGGTGCATTGCAAAACTCGCATTTGAAGCAAGTCAACTTTCTTTTTTTATGTGCCACACAAACTACGTAATTTTGTTAGGCATATAGCTTTTTGCCTTTATTTTCTATCTGAATTAATTTGTGCTTTTTGATGTCTAGCGAAAGACATCCAGGCGGATCAATTTTATATCGTGTAGTCCGTGGTGCTGAGTTCGATGTACCAGGTTGTGGCTCTTCAATGTCCATTGAATTGTCTGCATATATATCTTTATTTTCCCGTGAAACCATAGTGAAGGATTTCAAAATGTACTGTAAGTAGAATTTGAACAACCGAACAGCTTCAAACCACAAAACATACTAAATACAAATGTAAAGTGGCGCATGGATTGCACAATGTGGTTTGCAACCACATTGCGCAATCCATGCACTAGCTACAGTTGAGATAAATCGTATTACTACGACTCCCGCCTTTAAACTACAGTCAAGATAAATCGTAGTACTACGACTCCTGCCTTTAAGCTACAGTCGAGATAAATCGTAGTACTAAGACTCCAGCCTTTAAGCTACAGTCGAGATAAATCATAGTACTACGACTCCCGCCTTTAATGTGTTAACATCAGGAGCACTAAAAAAAATCCTTTTCTTATTAAATGCATGGGATTCATCTCTTTCTTTACTTTATTGATAGTTAATATTTAAGAAAAGAAGCTGCAGACTAAGAAAAGACTGAAATACATATGACTAATCTTACAGTACAAAATTACAAAATCTGGAACATCCAGATGGACCAGAGTGTTTCGTATCAAGACTATTGAAGAAGTCTTTAAACCAAAAAATTGAAATTCAGAAATGTGGGAAAATCTGAAACAAAGTGAGCAATGTAGAAATTAAAAATAATTACAAATACTAATCTAAAAGATAAATCTTGAAGTATTGTATATTGCTGTAGTAGTAGAAGTACTGCATAAAAAACAAAATCAATTAAAAAATGCATTTAAAAGGTAAATATTAGAGATATTATATGAAAACCTGAAATCAAGAGCAAGCCGTATATCATTTAAAGGGATCACAGAAGAGAGATTGAAATAAAATAAGTAAACACAAAAAAAGGAACAGATGACATCTATTATATACAATAATTTAAACATTATTCTTTTATCTTGAATACAGTACAAAGTCTTTAATCTGGACTCGTCGGGGCTTCGGCGATTCCGGATTAGGGGTTTTTCCGGATTATAGATAATTTAAATTTGGTAAGTTGGCATGCAGAAATTATAAAATTAAAAATATGAAACTGTAATTTATGAAATAAAGAGCAATTATAATCTAAAGGGTATCAAAATTTACACACACACACACCAAAAAAAACTATTATTTATTTGTTTTTATTTTTTTACTTTATTAAACATTTCTTTCAATGTAAGTTGTTTAAGTTGCTTCATTTTTATGTGCTAATACTTTCTCTTTAATTCTATAAACAGACATAATTTCTTGTTCAGTTACAAAGTTCTACTGTTCAAGTCCTGTAATTGCTGTGCCGAGAATACCGACTAACCTTACAATCGAAATTTTTTCTTTTTCACTAACCTCTCTGTCACTTTCTTCATGCCTTTATCCATTTTTTGCAGCAATTCCACTTTTTGTTTGATGGACATCGAAACATGCTTTCGCTTTGTAGATCCTTTGGCAGCTCCAGAATCGGAAATTCTTTTGACATAATCGAAAGTTCGAGCTTACTTTTTATAAAATTGCTCTAACACTCTGCAAAATATAATAAGCCAGATCCAACTAGAAGGTTAAGGAACAACGCAATCTGCACCCATTAACTGAAATAGATAATTAGAGAATTTTAGCCTAGCTTATACCATTCGTTATACATTAAATGTGCATGCGTAAACGTATTATGCGCATGCATAAATGATGATGTACATATGTGCATGCGTAAAGGTATTATGCGCATGTGTAAATGCTATGCATGCGCAGAAAGTTTGTAGCTTTGAGTTCCGGATTAAAGACTTTGTACTGTACATGATGTTGAAGAATGATTACCATTGATGAGTGTTATCGGTTGATCTGACTCCATAATTGAATGAAACAGCATTGATATAGAAATATATTTTATTATACACATAGGAAGGAATGAGACTCTACCAGGAGCATTGTGTAGCGATCTTTTCACTCCAACGGCGCTGGCCAAAAAGAGTCTGCGAGGTGAGACAGATGTTGTTGCGCCTCTTGCTGATTGGCTACAATATGAAAAAATTTTGATTAAGCCTAATTTGAAAAATGTGCACAATTTAAGGTTGTTTTCTAAACCTTTATCCACCAATTCTAAAATTGGACATATAGATTTTTATCCTTTATTATAAAACTTCTTGCTTCTTATAATATGCTTATTTTATTATTTTTTATAAACAGAACAATCACCAATCAAGTACTAATGACTTTTTGCGGGGTCTTACCTATACTTTTTAAAAATTATCACTTGCACGACTTCAGCTTTCACAATCCTGTAAATCATCTCTGATTTTGTCTTTTATGTCTGATCTATGTAGCAGTTCAAATATAGGATCCAGTAAATGGCTGTGATTTTGTTTTAAATTTGACTATAATTAAGCATTTTGTAAAGCTTGCAAACAGAGAATATAAGCTTGTAATGAGTTCTAATATCGGTTTTTCTCATAGCCAAATAAGTTCAATGATAGACAATCAAAATCGTAAAAAACAACCTTGTATTTAGCGTAGGTATAATGAAACACTCAATCGATTTCGAGGGCAGCTAAAGGTCCCTCCTCATCAGGAGAAAGAAATACATAGAAAGAAGAAAATAGGAGAAGGAGTCACAGAAACACGTGGTCCTTATCAGCACTGCACGTGGTTATAACTAGATTTTTAATCAGAGTTGCACTGGCCGCCTACTTTTACTGAGCCAGGCTGTCTGATCAAGCATAAAGAAATATTAGCGAAGTTAAAATAGGGAGCGAGGGGCAAATGCACCTTACGCTCAAAATCTGAACTTCAAATAATGGAAAGCAACCACTGAACGGATTTTTATACCCTCTGGTAGTACCAAACGCGAGGAGGTAACGCCATCTATCGGCAAAAATAACTGAATTAAGATAGTAGAATTTTAAAGGCATTAGGAAGGACTGGATTGGACTTCAAATCATTAACTAAACTTGCTAAATCTTTGTGAATGTGAAAAGCCTCAAGAAAATCCAATTCACCTATGGAAGAAGCCTTTTGGATGATTTTTGCAGACCCAAAATCAAAATTATGGTTAAAAGTCCAACTATGATACGCTATTGAAGACTTGTTAATTTCGCCTTTTTTGACATAAGATTCATGTTCCTTGATACGAAACTTCAACGCTCTTTTTGTTTGGCCAATATATCTTAAACCACACTGACATGATATACTATAAATTCCCCAAGAATTCAAGACAGAAACGCAATCTTTTAGAATCGAAGGGTGAATTTTATTAATAGGGAGAAACCGACTTGAAAATGAATTTGAATTGATCTGGAGAATCCGTGCAATTTTATAGCTAACAGAAGGATAAAATGGAAGCACGACAAGGTCATTAATATTATTTCTAACAGTGGAATGTCTTTTTTGATGGGAATGTGAAAATTTTTAACGGCTTTATCAATAATCACGGGAGAAAATCCACGGTCAATCGCAACTGCTCTCAAATAATTAAGTTCATTGGTAAGCAAAGATTCAGAGGAACAAACTTTAAGCGCGCGGAAAACATAATAGTAAAAAGAAGCCATTTTTTGCTTAACAGGGTGGCATGACTTGGCATGGGGTGGTAAACAAACTGCAAAGGGTTTACGGTACACAGTGGTGCTAAAATCGGTTTCATTGCGGATTATAAGAATATCGAGGAAGGGGAGGGAATTGTTGGATTCAATTTCAAGAGTGAATTGGATGGCTGGATCAATTGAATTCATAATAGATAGAATCTCGGATAAATCCTCTTTATAACCGTCAAAAAGTGCGAAAGTGTCGTCAACATACCGAATCCAAAGACGAAAAGATAATTTATCAAATAATTTCATCTCAAAATAGTGCATATAAATGTCAGCAAGTACCGGACTGAGAGGATTACCCATAGCCAATCCTTCAACTTGACGAAAATATGCATTTTGGAAAACAAAGTGGGTTTGACTTAGAGAAACTTTAGTAAGCGAAACCAACTCATTAATTTCAGTATGTGTGAAGTGAAATTCCCGAAGCCTAGTTTCAAGACAATTTAGTGCTCCTTCGACCGGAACATTAGTAAACAATGATTTGACATCAAATGAAACCATAATGGAACGAAGTGGGGAAATATTTTTAAGTTTATCAATGACTTCAACAGAATTTTTTACAGTGTGAATATTGTTATCAAGTAGAGGAGAAAATCTGGAAACTAAATATTTGGCCAAAGGATATGAAGCAGTACCTATGTTGGAAACAATTGGTCGAAAAGGAATACCGGTTTTGTGGACTTTTGGAAGAGCATAAAGTCTAGCGCAATTAGTAATAGGCGGAATAAGTGATTTCTTCAACTGAGTTGGCAGAATGTGGGAAGATTTAATAGCACTTTTTACTTTCGTGAGGTCCGAAGTTGAAGGATCTTTAGGGATCGAGCAGTATGGGCCTTCATTTATCAATTTAGAGACTCCAGTAATATATGTGTGTTTGTCCATAACAACGATCTGTCCGCCCTTATCAGCTTTAGAGATAATGATATTAGTATCAGAATGAATTTCACGTAAGATCTCATTTTCCTTTTTGCTAAGATTCGAACCCAAAGATTTATTGTTAAAATTAACGTTATGAGTAATTAGGTGGCGGATTGTATCCTTCTGCGTTTCCGAAATTTTGGAGAATTTAAAGGCTTTCTCTATAGGGGCGATGATTTGAGGAATTGAAGGTTTAGATGTCTTTGAAAAGTTGAAATTATATTTTAATACTTTTAACTGATCCTCCGAAAGATTCCTATTGGAGATATTAACGATGGAGTTAACGTTTACAGTGGGAAGATCAGCTAGATAATTGGGACTATCCGACTGGTGTGTGAGTTTTTGGAATTTAGAAATGAGCATATTTTTATGCCGTTGACAAACGGTATCGGTTCTAGACCAGGATGTATGTTCAAATGAGGAAAACTTTTCAGTGGAATTAGCAATTTTTAAATGGAGGTAATATAATTCAAATTCAATTTTAGATAAACGTTTGCGTGTGTCCCTTATAATGTGACGAAGAAGTGCCAATTTGAATTTATGCAAAATTTTTGAAACGTGAACGGAAGCTTTAAGGCTACATTTCACATGTATAAATTTGGGAATGAAATTTTGATGTTTGCATTTAAGTAGAAACTGTAGATGATTCAAGAATTTCGTACGCTTAAGGCGTAACTTACAAAATCGGTTCCTGTCAGTGGACATATTGTGAAAAGGGCACAAGCAAGAAACAAGTGAACAAAAGAAATGTAATTCCGAAAGTCCAAACAAGTAATTACTTATAACATGAAAAAACACCAATAAATAATGAAGACAATTTTCATCAACATATGACAAAAACATTCCAAAAGGAGAGAAACATCCAATACAGAAAACCAATAGCCACGTGGAAAGAAGCAACGAAAGTGAAAATCATGCACGTGGTAAACCGATAAAAAATAGAATAACCTCGAAAATGCAGGTTGATAGCATAAACCAAATCCGAAAAAATGATGGCCACGTGGAAAGAAGTAAATAAAATGGTGCACGTGGTAAAACAGTAAAATATTCTTGAAAATGCCAGTTGATAGCACATATTTTCTCCCGTGATTATTGATAAAGCCGTTAAAAAATTTTCAGATTCCCATCAAAAAAGACATTCCACTGTTAGAAATAATATTAATGACCTTGTCAAGCTTCATTTTTATCCTTCTGTTAGCTATAAAATTGCACGGGTTCTCCAGAAATTCAGTTTTCAAATCAGTTTCTCCACTATTAATAAAATTCACCCTTCGATTCTAAAAGAATGCGTTTCTGTCTTGAATTCTTGGAGAATTTATAGTATATCGTGTCAGTGTGGTTTAAGATATATTGGCCAAACAAAAAGAGCGTTGAAGTTTTGTATCAAGGAACATGAATCTTATGTCAAAAAAGGCGAAATTAACAAGTCTTCAATAGCGTATCATAGTTGGACTTTTAACCATATTTTGATTTTGGGTCTGCAAAAATCATCCAAAAGGCTTCTTCCATAGGTGAATTGGATTTTCTTGAGGCTTTTCACATTCACAAAGATTTAGCAAGTTTAGTTAATGATTTGAAGTCCAATCCAGTCCTTCCTAATGCCTTTAAAATTCTACTATCTTAATTCAGTTATTTTTGCCGATAGATGGCGTTACCTCCTCGCGTTTGGTACTACCAGAGGGTATAAAAATCCTTTCAGTGGTTGCTTTCCATTATTTGAAGTTCATATTTTGAGCGTAAGGTGCATTTGCCCCTCGCTCCCTATTTTAACTTCGCTAATATTTCTTTATGCTTGATCAGATAGCCTGGCTGAGTAAAAGTAGGCGGCCAGTGCAACTCTGGGTAAAAATCTAGTTATAACCACGTGTAGTGCTGATAAGGACCACGTGTTTCTGTGACTCCTTCTCCTATTTTCTTCTTTCTATGTATTTCTTTCTCCTGATGAGAAGGGACCTTTAGCTACCCTCGAAATTGATTGAGTGTTTCATTATACCTACGCTAAATACAAGGTTGTTTTTTACGATTTTGATTGTCACATTAGCATGTTTCTCTTCTAGTTCAATGATAGACATATGACAAAATGAAACATAATGCACCATTACAGTTGAGCTCAAAATTATGGAAATTATTAGCCAATTAGTAAATTTGAAATGATCAGTCAGTGCTTGCAGTAGGAAGGAGATCCAGATATTGGCTAAGGTAGTTATGAGTGTACGATTAGAACAAGTTTTGATTTCCAACCAAATGACCTTGGTCCTATTTCCAGGCTCATATCCATGACAGCATCAATGAAATAACAGCTTTTGCGAAGCTAGCTAGAGTTACTTTCAATCCACAGCATAAGATGGTGCTTTGAAATTACAACACCTTAATTCTTGTAAGCTGGCCACCCATATTTATAACCTAATGAATATTAATAATGCGAATGATCATTCATATTTAGTAAACATTATGAAAACACACACTTATGCCAACTTGGAGAAATAATTAATTATATATCATAGCATCACATTGCTCTCTCACTATGAATCTACAAAAGAACAAGGGCCAGACAAGCATGCTTATGTATTTGAAGATGTAGCTCTGTACTTGATGCAGTGTGGAGTCACATCAGTGTGCAGGATTTGCAACCATGCTAATAACAAAGCTTTAATCATGACAAGTCACATTTTTAATATCATATTCCAGAATGCTAGCAAAAGGATAAGAATTTCAAAATGCTGATAATGGTATTAAATAATGCTGATAGTAAGAAAGAGATAAGTTTTTCCTCCAATGTCGTGAATGAACTTTTTAATTTGCACTTGGGTAACATATTCAAAGTCATAATCACAGCTGTGCTAATGAAATAACAGCTTTTGCACCAATATTTACAATTACTTACCAATTACAACAGTATGCCTAGTTAAAAAGGTGTCACAAGATTTTGCAATTTTCAATCCAGTTAGTAAATTCTCACATACTTATTCAAATATTTTGAATCTACAATGATTTGGTTAAATTTTATGTTATACCAAAAAAAAAAAAAAAAAAAAAAAAAAAAAAAAAATCTGTGTTGTTGCAAAATACAACTTTTCTGTAGTTCTGTAGCTATTACCTTGGATGATTTCTTCATTTATGATAAATTTAGGTGCAGTGTTTACATATATATATATCTTCTTTTATATAAAATATTTTAAATGTTAAAATTCTGTAACTAAAATATACCTAAAATATTGCATTTTAAATTTTTTATATTCAAAATTCAGTTATTCAATTTAATTTTTTTAGATAAAGCTCCTGTGCAATATTCCTTTACTGACATTGTTCAGAGGAGTCTTGCAGTCAAACATCATATTACAGCATGGTGTGAAAATTGTAGTCGGTTCACTAGCATGGTAAGTTGATATGTGCATAAAATATCTATGAAAGTAGTTTAATAACTAAATTAATGTAGTTGTCTTGTCTCTTATTCATTGCTCTTTTTATTATTCATCATGAAGAATAATAATTTACATATGTTCATTTTTCATACTCACTAATATACTGTTTATACTCACTCAAGTTATGTAGTGAGTATATATTCATACTCACTATATAACTTGTACCTGAGAGGCTATCTAAAATAAGGTCTGATGTTACCAATACATTTGTCAAAATTTAACCTGCATCTCTTAAAAATGTGAAAAGAAATTGGAAAAAATTAACATTCTGCATATTTTTTCTTCATTTAAGACAGTCTAATTTTTTTTATGTCCAGTATTATGAATTTTTAATTGCTCAGATTTCAGCTTACATGAATATCCCATCAAAACTCACTTGATGCCCTGAAAACAAATTGTTTTTTCCTTGAGCAAATCGTCCATCTTACTTTCTTTGTGATATGTGTAAGGATTAGCAATAGTAAAATGCTTGTTAATTTTATCAAATTAAGCTTTTTCCTTGACATTTTATGAAAGAAAAATATTCCAAAGAAAAGAAAATTAAATCCACATTAGAAAGTGTATTAGAAGTGTACACTATATCAAAGTATGTTTGATTCTTTGTGTTTATGATAAATATGCTCATGTTGATTGCAAATAAATTTTAAGGTTGCTTTTTATCTGAAACCTGAATTTAAGTTCTGTAATCCTACTAGATAAATTAGTGAGCTATCACTAACTGTGACTACCATTACTCATGTCTGAATTGAATTACCAAAGAACAGTCAAACAAATTTAAATGTTGATAACATAGTTGAAGGGTACACTTTTCAATAACATAAGCTATAAGCTCATTGAATTTATTTTTACCCGCACCTAAGTTTAATGATTCAGCTGCAAAAGCCAGAGCTAGACCTGGCAAAATTCTAACAGCACCACATGAATGCCTGAAATTCTCTCTCTTGTCTTAGGCTCAAAATCTTCAGCTTATGTACTTTAAAAGCTATTTTACATTTTGGTGAGGAATATGGAAAGAGTAAGACATAAAGGTCGAAATCATAATAACTGGTTAATTAAAGAATGTTACAAAATTTGCATGAAAAGCCCAGCAAAGAAATTAATTCAGAATTTATTATGTAAATTTTTGTATCGCATCATTTTTTACATTTTCCCATAATAAAACTTTTTCATGAATAAATTTTCTTACCATTTGAAACGGATATAAAGAAATAAAGGCAGCTATTATATGCTTCTGGTTTGAAAATATTGAATTTTGCATCTGAGAACCCTAGCAATTGAAGGTTTTGACATCAGATTGACTCAGGTACTAGATAAATTGCTTTGGATACAGTTTTCTTGCTTATTTCTGAGAAGTATATGGTAGACATTTGCTTTTAAAGTGTACTGTATTCACATAAAGTAAATCATTATGTTTAAAATGTGTACTTTCTGTTTAAGTACAATTCCATGGTCACCTTATGCACATTTGAACTTAATAGAAAATTCATGAAATATGTAACGAATCAAACAGTGTACATAAAAGAATTTTTTTCTTTGATAAACTTGGCACTTGTGCATTTTCACATTAACTGTGAAAATTGCTGAAATCCTGTTAGATTGGTGCCAGTTACTCTGTCGGAAGTTCAGAGAAACACTCTTTATTTAGTTAAATAATCTGAGATCATTGTTTATTTAATTAGATAATCAATGGATACAAGTTACAGATTTAGCATGTAAAAAGCTTAAATAAATTTGACATTGTTTTGAGATAATCGATAAACACATTTTTAAAATTTGCACTAGTCATTCTGTCAATTAAAAATCCTTAATAGTGTTTAAGATAGCAGAAAAGCTGTCATCTCTCTCTCTCTCTCTCTTTTTTTTTTTTTTTTTTTTTTTTTGTGAACTCAATGCCACATTTTCTCAAATATAAATTTAAGTGGTGTTATTTAGTTATTATTTAGTATTATTTAGTTGTTTATTATTATTTAGTTAGATAATCCGAGATCTGTTGTGTTATTTGTTTATTAGCCCAAAGAAGCATTAGCTCAGAAGGGCTTTTAGTCTCAAAACAATATTCAGCACTGAATCACTGTAAAAGACCGAATCACTTTTCAAATTGCCATCAAATATTATCCCCCTGTATTAGTTTAAAAGAAATTAAATAAAGGAGAATGTGCAAGAATGTAGGTATGTTTCTCGCATTGTGAAAAAAGAGATGGTACCAAGAGCCATCAAATTTTTAATAATGTAACCCTCCACCTGAACATGGGGACCTGGAAGCTGGAATTTTGAATTTGTTTTATTATCTATTTCACATTTTTTTAACTTTTAGTGAATCTTTGATTAATAAACTCAATGATTTCAAAGTGAGCAAGGGTAACACCATACAGGGAAAGAAAAAAAAAAAAAAAAAAAAAAAAAAACATTTTTATCTCCAGTGTGCTCTGGAAATTGTAAAGATACGCTGTTTTAAAATATTTTGTGATATTGTTGTTGAACTAAATTTTGTGGTTTTAAGTGCAAAGAATATGATATTTAATAAATAATGGTAAAACACAAAATGTTTTAAAAAATGCCTCCTTGTGCGCCATATAAAATCTGAAAGCTTTAATTAATTAATTAATTTTTGTCGTTGTGCATTTGTAGTTTAGTAAAATCAGTCCTGTTACTTTGGAAATACGCTAATGTGTACTGTTCTATAGAAGGCTATTCACAAATTTTAATATATATATTTTAATGTGAGAGAAAACCAGAGCAATAGTAGTTAAATCAAATTCTTTTTTTACAAAATACTAACATGGCTTATTGAAGGTTTAATTTTTTTTTAAAACCAAAGCAAAAATGTTACATATGTACTGTGATATCATACTTATCCATTAATGGCTATAACTCGTACTGTTTAGTAACAATTTTAGTTTGTTGAAAAGGGTCAATTAAAAAATATCGAAGACTGTAATGATTAGAATTTCATCTGTTTTAAAACCATAACCTGCTGAGACTAGGCATACTACAGATCATAATTAATGGGATAGATATCCATAATAATGACAATTTTTATGGTCTTTATAACCTCAACTATTAATCTTATTCAGTTTTAAAATTGTTCACTTTTAGCTATTTAAAGTGTACTTGTTCTACATTTAGCTGAAAAAGTAAAATTCATGAAAATTTTGAATGCAGTATATGTTTAGTAATCAAAATACTAAGTACACCATATAGTAAGGAACTAAAGTGATGACTCATCTAGTGTCAAGCTCTTTGCCAGTAAAAGATGTTCATATACAGAGGGAAGCTAGATTCCTGTAAAAGTCTTTCATGAACTTTCTTTAAGTGATTGCCTGTCAAGAATTTTGCTGAAATTAATTAATCAACTGTTTTAACACTAAAAAGAGCTTTTTTATATTAAAAAATTTCTGATTGGAAAATTTTCCACAAACTTATTGTATTATTTGTTAACAGAAGTATATTACACAAAGTAAATGAAAAAAAACTGTTGGTATAAGGTTGTGGAGAGATGAAAAATATAATTTACCTACAATTATTTTATTGAACTTGTATTTGAAATAGGAATTACATTAGGAATTTAGTTTAAGTTCCTTTTTTTAGGTTATTCATTATGCATAATTCTTATTTCATTTGTAGATTCAAACAAAATTCTTGAAGTCCTTGCCTGATATTCTTGTTTTGAATTGCGGTGATAATAAGCATGAATTAGAATTTTGGAGAAATCAATTTCAAGTGAGTTGTTTATTTAAAATTTTTTAAAAAGTTGTGAGATGTTCATTTGTAGCATAAAATATGAATCATTTCTCATGCCATTATACCCGCTTAGACTAAAATGTTTGATTTTCATTATTCAGATGAAGCAGAACTGATTTGCGAATATATTACTTCCGTAGGTTCTGAAATTTGTAAACCTACATTTTTTTTTTGGCTCTGCAACTTGATTTCATAAAAGTAGTTTCTAAGTGTAACAACTGGAATAGTTTTTCTGTCTCTTTTAATAAAGAGAATTTTATGTTTGGAATATTAATAATGCTTGATCTTACTATTGATTCTGTTGCTAATATTTTTTATATGTAAAAAGATATAAGTATATAATTTTCAGCTTTGTGTTAAATCAGTGCCTCTGAAACTTTCAATATTTGTGACCCAATTTTCAATAATAATTTTCATCGCACCCTCCCCCATACAATAACAATGTATTGAATGCAGTAATAATGTACTTTGATGCTAAAACTACAATACGACCTTAATTATAAAGAGTACAAATTATCAAGATAGGTATTAAATTTTGTATACGTTACTTTTAAGTAACAGATATTTTAAGTAACAGGATATGTATTATGTTACTTTTCCTTTTTAATTTTTAAATTGGAACAAATTGCAAAATTAATTTTAATTAAATTAAATATTTATTTCCCAAATCATCCATTTCTAAAAGTACAAATGTTATTAGAAAAATAGTCTAGTTTCTGCTGCCCTCTATCCATCATGTTCTGCTATTCATAACATTTGGCATTCTTGCAGATATCTGCGCAACCTATTGAATGTCTGTGCGAAACGTTTATAAATGCTGCACCTCGTGCAATTGCAGCTGAGGTCGAGTAGATCCTTCTGTCACTACTGAACAGGGGCGTAGCTAGAGGGGGGCAAGGGGGAGCATCTGTCCCCGGACGCAGAATCCAAGGGGTGCCAAACTGATGTTATGACATTTTAGAATTAATAAATGTTTTCCATCCTTGGCAAGCAGTAGGGGACACGAAATCTTCAGTTGTCCCTGGGTGCTAAAAACCCTAGCTACGACTCTGCTACTGAATCTATCTTGAATATGCATTTTGTAATTTGCACGTTAATTGCAATTCACAGTATTAAATAACGACAGTAGATTTAAATAGAATCATGGATAAATTTTTAAGTAAGTGAACGTTAGACGATATTCAAGCATCAACAAGTGCACAGACAGGCATGGATCCGAAAATTAAATCAAAAAGATATTTTCGAGAATACTTAAATTTTAGGTTTACCAATACTGAAGTAATTGAAGAAGAAAGGACCCTGCGTGTTATTTGCTAAAAAATATTGGCAGAAGACAGCATGATACCTAATAAACTTAAACAACATTTGGAAAAGCTTTATGATGAGTACGTTAACAAATCCCAATAATTTATTTATTTATTTAATTTTAATTATTGAATTAAAATCATGTGAGAAGCAAAAAATATTTTTTGATGAAACTTTGTCTGTGAATGAAAAAGCCCACCAGCGGCCGAGCGGTAAAGTCGCTAAACACTGGTAGTTGGGTCTGAGGTTCAAATCCCGTGAACGGGCTGGCTGCATAGGTGTTTTCGTGGTTTTTCCCATGTTTAATGTGTATATGAGCCAGTTTCCCTTAGAAAGTCCTCCATGAAGGCATCCCTCCCCTTAGGCAGGTAGCCCTAGTGTGCTTTGCCGTAATTAAATACACACCTGTGAATGAAAAAGCTTTACTTCCTTCTTACAAAGTCTCATATAAATTATCCAGATGTAAAAAGCCCCATGTAATTGGCGAAGAGCTTGTTTTGCGAGCTGCAACTGAGATCGTAGAAACTATGTTTGGAGGTAATTATGCTAAAGTCTTGCAGTTCATACCTCTTTCAAATGATACTGTTGTCCGTCGAATCGATGATATAGCTGAAGATGTACAACAGCAGCTTTTTGGGAATTTGCAGGACAAATTGTTTTCATTTCAGCTTGATGAAGTAACGGATAGTAATAAAGATGCTCATTTCATTGTGTATGTTTGATTTTTGTGCTGGTATATCAGCAGTAGAAGAACTACCTTTTTGTAAACCAACAAAACTCAAAGCAACAGCACTAGTGTTATTTGATATTTTAAATAATTTTATAAACAAGCCAAACAAAGAGTGGAAACATTGTGTCGGATTATGCACCGTTGGTGCTCATACAGCATCTGGGAGATTCCAAAGCATACGAGCACTCGTGAAACAGAAATTTCCACTGGACATCTGGACACATTGCACACTCCACAGAGAAGCTCTGGCTTCCAGTGGCTTAGCAAAGGGGAGGCAGGGGGTGTGTGATGCCTCGGGCAAGCTCGCAGAGGGGCGCCAAATGGTCTCCAAACAAGATTTTCATCATATCACTGTGTTTTTTTCCCAGGGGTGGGGCGCCAAAAGGGTATTTTACCCCGGGTGACAGTTATGCTCGCTACTGCACTGCTGGCTTTCAAAGGCATGAATGACCAAGAAATGGTCTAAATATTGTGCCAACGACAATTGACCATAGTAAATTATATAAAAATAAGACGTCCCAAAATCAAGTATTTTCTCTGTACTTTGTAAAGACATGAGTGTGGTACATTCATCATTGCTGTTTGATTGTGAGGCAAGATGGTTATCACAAGGGAAATTTTTGCAATATGTTTATGAATCATGAGACAAAATTGCCACTTTTCTAGAAGAGGTAAACCAACATGAAGCTCAGAAGTTTTGAGATGGTCTATTTGTGATGAAATTCAGCTACTTGGTCTATATATTCGAGAAATTAAATACCTTGAATCTTCAACTCCAAGGAGCAAATATACATATGTTGGAGACGAGTGATAAAATTAATGTTTGTAGAAAATTGGAATTATGGAGCAGAAATTTAAAGTTTCTCAGTTAAACATAGAAAAAGAACTTTGGGTGTCAATTTCTAGTATTAAACTTTCCTTTGAATAATTTTGCTCTGCAAGGCAAGCCCATGGGAGTCACTAGTAATTATTAAGCTTGTCCGTAATTTAGTATTGATAAATTAATTATAATTGTGCAGTACTGATACATTTATAAGTACATTTTATGTAAATGTGTATTTTATTTTTTATTATGTCAGAATGTATTTTGTTTTGCTTCCTTTCAGTACAGTAATAATTTTTAAAATAAACTTTAATTTTTGACTTTTCGATATCCTTGTCCCCCCATATTAAGGGACTGTTATTAAGCCTCCCAAGGGGGGAATTGTTTTGTTTGAGAATTGCTGTGTCAAATATACCATCCTTCAGAAAAAAAGGAGTTAATAGTTTTTCTACTATGATATTGTGGGGAAAAAGAAAATAGGATTTTAAGTATATAGTTTGCAAGAAGGTTGAGTACATAAAATTATTTAAAGGAAAGCTAATTCTCATGCTATTAAAACATTAAATATTTAGCTTAGAGCAGTGTAGTGATACAACTTTTCCCATTTGTATGAAAGTATTGATTTCTAGATTGCTATACTGAAATTTTGCATTTGAACTCTTGGAAGTTATAAATTAGAGACATGTTTTTCAGAGTTTTTAGCAGTTTTATCTATTTGCATATGGTTGCTCAAGAGAGAAAAATGCAGAAAAAGGGTCATGTAAAATTCAAATAATAATAAATATGTATATATGTAACAGGGTTGCCACACTACCTGGAAAACCATAAAAAGTCAGGGAATTTGAAAATTGACCAAAAAATTCAGGGAAAAGTCAGGGAATTTAAATATTTTAGTCAAAATCTGGAAAAGTCAGGGAATTCCATACGGATATTCCCCCCATAAAAGCGAGTTTTGCACCGACGTTGGAACCCATCACTTTCTAGGTGAATTATGTATCGCATGAGCATCATACGGTCAACTGGCATAGAGCCAAATTTTCGCTGCTCCAATCAGATTGTCTTGAGAGAAAGGCAAAGCAAGTTTCCAGCAACTTTTGGTTTCCAGTAACCCCCAGTATCGAGAGGCTCCCACGCGCATATGCAGTGCATGTTGAACTAAGGAAAATACGTTTTCTCGTATAAAATAAAATCGGTTTAATCCTAGTATAGGGCCTCCATGTACCGTATAATGGGATTTGGGGATATGATGAGCAGTAAACGGGTCATTTTGGTGTTGGCGACAATTTTCAAAATCGTGCCAAGGCCGTAGCGTATATTAGGATTTTACTGCAAAACTGAACTTACTCTTTTTAACCCTCCCTAAATGCCTTATTTGTCATTTTGCAGTAAAATAAAAAAATAGTCACCTAGGCTAACCATTTAATGTAACTATATTCGCCAAAATATCGTTGATTATTCCAATTAAATTTTTAAATAATTATCTTTTTTTAATCTTATTTATGTCATTTAATGTTGCTTCTTCTCTCTAAATTTATTTTTTATTTATTGGTAAATAAAACCTTCAAATTTCAGGAAAGTTTCTCTGCATAATCCTGACATTAATTCTAGCAGTATGATGACATACCATCACAAAATTTAATGCATATATGTTTTGCTTATGCATTCTACTAAATAAATATAAAATATCTTAATTTATTAAAAAATATCACTAAATAGATTTTTCTTTCATTTAGCTGAAAAATGTCTGCAAAAAAAGACATTTTTTAATCCAGATTGGGCAGATTCTAATCTGAATCTTCAGTGGAGAAAACAATTCCTATTATAGTTATAATAGTAATACTTTGGGGATTATATATTATAAGTCATATGTGATATATATATAAGTCATATGTAATTGGCAAATTTTTGTATTTTCAAATGGTACCATAATTAATTTATCTCTTAGCACAGCCAATGTGCATTATGCAGATAGACTGGAATTTTCTTAAAACACACCTGGAAAAGTCAGGGAATTTTATTTTCCTATTTGAGTGGCAACCCTGATGTAATCATTAAGAATTAAAGATTCTAAGTTTAATTTAAAATTTATTAACAATTGTAAATAAAAATACATATAATTGTATAGAAAAGCAATGTCAACTAATCTTTTATGATCTGCCAGACACTTTTCGAGACTGCATGAGGTGCGACCCAAACTTTGAGAACCACTGTTTCAAGAAATAATTTTTCCATATTCTCTCAAATGGAAAACATTTGATTGGGTAGAAACATTGACTAAAATAGTATGGCAGGAGGATGGTAAACTCATAGCTTTAGTAAATCTTCAGTTATGGAGGAAAAGGGATTAATCTATAAAAAAAAAAATGCCAAATTATAATTGTTATTTCATATTAACCCATGGTATTTGCAAAGTTTAATTACAAAAACCCTAATTAAAGTAATTATTAAAGTATTTAAAGAAATGTTCATTATGCAGTATAGAAAGTGTTTTTATAATTATATTAAAAATCAGAGATTTAAAGAGAGCTACTGAATTTTATTTTTAATCGAAAGAAATAATTTGTATGTATTAAAATTAATTGATACCAAGGAAAATAAATATGCTGTAATTTAAATAAGTAGTTTCGTTTATTAAAATTAAATGGCAAAAATGTCACTATTTCATCTTAAAATTAATGTAATTTTCATATTTATAGCAGAATATTATACTAGTTTATTTGAGGATGTCTTGTGAAAGTTAATAACCGATGTAACATCTGTTAAGATGTTTTTAAATTATATTTTACTCTTCATTTGATATTGCTAGTGTAAAATAGTATTGTTGCGAATTTTGTATATGTGTAAGTAATTTCAATGAAATTGTGTGTAAATTTTAGTATCATGAAAAGAATTAGAATGCAAAGCATCGCTGGGAAAATAGTGATACAGAGATAAGTCCATTTAACATTGAGGTTTTAGTAAAATTAGTGATAAGCTGTCGATTAGTTTGGGGCGACTTAATTTTTGTGGCCAAATTTGGCAAGAAATTACCAAAAGTCTCCAACCTGGGCAAACATTTGGCTTGTGTTTGGTCTAGATTTAGTTAAGAACTCAATCGATTTTGAGGGCAAACAGGCACAGGTCCCTCTTCATCAGGAGCAAAGAAATCTAGAAGACTGGAAAGCAGCAGGAACAGTGGTTATACTTATACCCTACAGTAGTAAAGCAATGAGAAAGTAGTACCATCTGTTGGCAAAAATAGTTACAAAATTAAAAAAATTAAGTTAATAGAATTTTGAAAGCATTAGGAAGGACTGCATTTGACTTAAATCATTAACTAAACAAGATATATCTTTGTGAATGTGAAAAACTTCAAGAAAATTGAGTTCACCAATTGAGAAGCTTTTTGAATAATTTTTGATGATGCAAATTCAAAATTATGATTAAATTTCCAACTATGATTAGCTATCAGAGACTTAATTTCACCATTTCAGACACAAGATTACTGTTCCTTAATGCAGAATTTTAATACAGATTAGTTTGCCAATATATTTCAAACACTACTGACATGATATGCTATAAATTCCCCTAGAATTAAAGACAGAAATCTAATCTTTAAGAATTAAACCACGGATTTTATTGATAGGTGAGGAAATGACTGGATAATTGAACTTCTGGAGAATCCATGCAATCTTATAACTGACAGAAGGATGAAGCAGAAGCACAGCAATGCTATTAACGTTGCTTCTGAAATGTCTTCTTTGATGATAAGGTGAAACTTTTTTCAATGACCTTGGGAGAAAATCCTTGGTCAGTGGCAATCAATCTCAAATTATTTAGTTCATTAGCAAGCAAAGGTTCTGAGAAATAAACTTTGAGAGTGCAAAATGTATAATAGTAAAAAGAAGCCATTTTTTTTTTTTTCTTAGCTGGGTGACATGACAAAGTATGGTGTGATAAACAAACAGAAAAAAGTTAACAGTAAACAGTAGTGCTAAAACCAAATTCATTGTGAATAATAAGAATATCAAGGAAGGGAAGGGGTATTGTCCAATTCAGTTTCAAAAGTGAACTGGATGTCTGGATCAATCAAATTTATAATAGATAAAATCTGGGGTAAATCTTCTTAATTACCATAAAAAAGCAGGAAAGTGTCATCTATATAACGAATGCAGGAGCGAAAAGATATCTTCTGAAATAATTTGACCTCAAAACAGTGCATATTTAAATGCTAGATAGTAGAGGACCGAGGGGGATTCATAGCTAATTCTTCAAATAATACCCATAGCTAATGTCAGAAAAAATAGCTAATCCTTCAATTTGGCAATAGTATTCATTTTGGAAAATAAAGTTTGTTTGACTCAAAAAGATTATAGTTAGAGAAATTAACTCTGTGTTATGTCAGTTATGTGTGAAATGGAATTTTCGAAACCTAGTTTCAAGACAATTTAGTGCGTCTTTGACTAGAACATTAAACAGTGATTTAACATCAAAAGAAACTGTGATGAAACACAGAGAAAAAAATCTTTGTGAATGACTTCAAAAGAATTTTTCACAGTTTAAATATCGTTAGAGAAAGTAAAGGAGGAAATTTAGAAACTAAATATTCTAACTTAGGAACAGCATAGGATATGATGCTTTTCCTAAGTTGGAAACTCCAGTTCAAAATGGAATTCCAATTTTGTGGATTTTGGAAGAGCGTAGAACCTAGTACAGTTAGCAATAGAGGGAATAAGTGATTTTTAAAACTGAGTGGGAAGTATATAAGAAGATTGAACAGCCGTTTTTCCTTTCGTGAGATTAGAAATTAAAAGATCTTTAGGGATCAAGCAGTATGGGCCTTCATTTATTAGTTTTGAGACTTCATCATTGTACATGTGTTTATCCATAACAATGATCTGTCTGTCCTTATCAACTTTAGAAATTATAATGTTAGTATTAGAATGAATATCAAGTAAGGCTCCCTTTCCTTTTGGGAAAGATTTGAAACAAATGGTTTATTATTAAAATTCACATTATGAATAAATCTACACCAAACGCAGTGTTGTTGACTTTCTAATTTTATGTTTCACTTTGGCATGTTTCTATTCTGTTTTTAATGTACACATATTTGAAACTTTTCCTTTTTTTTCTAGTTATTATCTAAATCCAGTGATGTATCTGTGATGAGAACTTTACCTGATGTTCCAATTAGACGGAAACATTGTCGTTATGGTGGTCTGTGCAAGAGAGCTGATTGTAGATATTATCATGAACATAAAAAGTAATTTTCATGTTTAATAATTATGTATAAATTTATTCTTGCATTTTTTATAATAAATTGTAAATTTATAATTTTCTAATGCATATATGAAATATATTTAGCACAGAGAACGACCAAGATCCATCTAAAACTTCAATTTCATGGATACCACTGAGTCTGAAACTGAAACTTAAAGCTGGGGAAGTAATAGTGGAAGATCAAAATGATAATGTATGATTTATGTTTTTATTTTTATGTATTTATTTTATACAGTTTTGATAGTTTCTTATTAAGCATGTTTTCAAATGTCAACAAAACATGTCTAAGGTTACAAAACCTGTCTGTATATATGTAGTGAAATAATATTTTCTTAGTTAATTTGATATTAGATGATTGCTTGATTAGTGAAGACTCCAATTATTCTGCAGTCACAAATGGATTGAAGTTAGAAGGTCATTGAAATTCCAATTACATAATAGATAATGTTGGGAAGTTTTAAAGAATTACAAAATCGCTTGATAATCCAAACAGTTATTTCTTTTTCATTACTCTCATGGCACATCACAGTGGGGACAATCTGCACCCGCAATTTTGATGCTGACTCATTACATTTTTAATAGAAGCAACTAAGCAGGAGACAACCTTTAGGTAGCAAACGTAGGTAGTGAAAGAGGATGTGTTTTTTGATTCCCACAGTAATTATAGTAAAAGCTTTTCATTAATTTGATTGGCTTAGAACTGTACACAATGCAAAAGGTTAAGATGACATAATGTGGAATTAGTTTTCAGATGTCACACAGTTTTGAAAAAGTTATTATCACTTTTAGAATAGATAGGGGAAAGGGCCAAAACCAAAAGAAGGAATTAAGGGACTATTGCTAATTTAAAGTATAATTCAGAGTTACATATTTTTTATCTTACATATGTCCCCCCCCTTCAAGGAGAAAAAAACTTGGCAAGAGAAAAGCCTTTTGAGGAGAAAGTATTAGTGTGTTAGCAGAGAATAAGAAGAAATTTTGTAGAATATTTGCAATGTGAATGATAAAACAAATAAATGGCTTCAATATGTACTTTAGAAACACTGGAACAAAATATCATTTTATAAACAGGGTTGCCACGCTACCTGGAAAACCGGAAAAAGTCAGGGAATTCGGAAATTCACCAAAAAATTCAGGGAAAAGTCAGGGAATTTAAGTGTTTTAGTCAAAATCTGGAAAAGTCAGGAAATTTCATACAACAATCCCGCCAAAAAAGGCGAGTTTTGCGCCGACGTCGGAAGAGATCACTTTTTTGGCGAATTGTGTATCACGTGAGTGTCATTCGGGCAGCTGGCATAGAGCCAATTTACGCAGCTCCAATTTAATTGCCTTTTTAGAAAGGCAAGCAAGTTTCCCGCAACTTTTGATTTCCAGTAACCTCGAGAATCGCATGTGCAGTGCATGAACTAAAGAAAGTACCTGTTCTCGTATAAAACAAAATGGGTTTAATCCTAGTATACGGTACCATGAAGGTTAGAATTAAAAAAATATGTATCGTAAAGAAGGAAAACCTCTCTGCAACAGACGTGGCTCGTTTCCATCATAGCGGGAAACAGCTGTGCATATGCGATATAGTACAGTCAAAAGTCGTTAATTCGGACACCCATAATCCGGACCTCAAATCTACAAACTTTCTGCACATGCGTCGCTTTGATGCACATGCAGAGGCGTTTACGCGGGCCCGTAAGATCTTTACGGCTGCAAATATATGTGTGCACATGTGCGTTTAACGTATAACTGCGGTAAAAGGTAAGCTAAATTTATCTAATTCAGTTAATGTTGCAGATTGCGTTGTTCCTTAATCTTCGAATTGGATCCGGCTTATTATTTTTTGCAGATTGTTAGAGCAATTTTATAAAAGTAAGCTTGAACTTTCGATTATGTCAAATAGAATTTCCGATATATATTTACTAATATGTAAAGGATTTACAAAGCGAAAGTATGTTTCGAAATCCGAAATCTGTTTATCAATTTGACGCTGCTCTGCGGCGGGAGGAGGGGGGAAACGCCGTGATGCGTAATGAATTGGAAGTTGATCTGTCAGCACTATCCTTATCTTCACGGCAGATGTTTTTATTTTATTTGGCTTATAATTCCTTACTAAATGTAGTATTTCATGTCAATGTACTCCGTCTTTGATATGATTTAAAGCAATTATAGGACTTGAACAGCGGAACTTTGTAACTAAACAAGAAATTATGTCTGTTTAATAGAATTAAAGAGAAAGTATTATCACATGAAGGGAAGCAACTTAAACAACTTACATTGAAAGAAATGTTTAATAAAGTAAAAAAATAAATATTAAGCTTTTTTTTTTGTAAATTTTGATACCCTTTAGATCATAATTGTTCTTTATTTCATAAATTACGGTTTCATATTTTTAATTTTGTAATTTCTGCATGTCATCTTACCAGATTTAAACTGATGATCTATAATCCGGAAAAATCGATAAGCCGGAATCGGCGAAGTCCCGTCGAGTCCGGATTAACGACTTTTGACTGTATCTGTTGCCAAAGCTCGAAACCGGTGTCGAAGTTCGAAGGTCACATTATCAAGAGTTCATAAAATGAATATCGTTTAAAATGTCTTTAAACTCTAAAGGAAAAGAAAATATTTTTTGCCGCAAGTAAATTAATTCATGGATTAGTTATTTTGACGGGGAAAAAAAATCTACGAAAGTCCGTTTTTAAAATTATTGCGAAAAATCCAAGAAAAAATGTTCTTTGATAAAACGTTTCTTCTTGGATTTTTCGCAATAATTTAAAAACGGATTTTCGTAGTTTTCTTTTTTGTCAAAGAACGTTTCTTCTTAACGCGTGTTTCTCAATTTCCTGTACACATCGCGGAGAGGGAAATTCTGGCCGTTCCATTGTCAAATCCCTTGTCAAATTTTCCCTCCGCTTTTTACATAGACGTTCTTTGGTCAGAATAATCTCCATGTATGGCACAGCGGGATTTGGCGACATGATGATGAGCAGTAAATGGGTCATTTTGTTCTTGGCGACAATTTTCAAAATCATGCGAAGGCCGTATCGTATACTAGGATTTTACCGCAAAATCTTTTTTTCTTTCTTTTTATAAATACCTTGTCATTTGCAGTAATAAAAAAATAGTAATCAATCATCTAGGATAACCATATGTAACTATATTCGCTAAATATCGTTGATTCAATTAAATTTTAAGATTATCTTTATTTTTGTTATATATCATTTAATGTTGCTTCTCCCTCTAAATTATTTATCATAGTAAATAATATTTCCAAATTTCAGGAAATTTTCTCTGGCATAATCCTGAAATTTAATTCTAGCAGTATATGATGACATCACGAAATTTAATGCACATATTTTTTCCTTATGTATGCTGCGAAATAAGTATAAAATACCTCAATTTAGTAAAAAATATCATTAAATAGATTTTTTCTTTCGTTTAGCTGCAGAATGTCTGCAAAAAAAGCCTTATTTTATTCCAGATTGGGCAGATTCAAATTTCAATCTTCAGTGAGAAAACAACTCCTATTATAATTATATTTGTGTTTTCAAGTGTTAAGGTGCCTTTTAAGAATACACCTCACACAAATTAAATTTACCTAAAATCTAACCTAACTTTTAGCATTGCATTGTGATTTATAAGAACCGGATTAGCCTCTTGTTGAACAGGGGATGATTATGAGTAATAATTAAATAAAACGTACAGTTGTTATCCAATGTATATATTTTAAATTTTATTAAGTTTTTTAAGCAGAAAAGTAAACAAAAAATATCAAACAAAGTGTACCAAGAATAATTAAGAATAAATGTCCTCTGGGATTTATTGAATAATTAAGTGAATTTGCTACACAGTACAAGTAATACCATAATTAATTTACCTCTTAGCACAGCCAACCGTACATTACGCGGATTGACTGGAATTTTCTCAAAACATACCTGGAAAAGTCAGGGAATTTCATTCTCCTCTTTGAGTGGCAACCCTGTATAAATTACATTTAGAGTTCAATTTTAAAGTTCTTGCGGAAATGTAGCTTGAAGATCACATAATAAATTTTAATAGCTTTATAATGCCTTTTGCAAAACGTGTTATAATTGGTATAAAATCAAGATATTTCAATTATATATCTATGAAATTCTAGTAAAATTAGTACTTATTTATGCATTTTAAAACAAAATCACATATTCTAATTCTGTTGAAATTTGACAAGAATGTGTAATTCAATTGTGTTAAGTACATCCAAACCATACCTGCAATAGTTATAGCTTATTATGAAAAACGGCACTTTGGTGGTGAAAATCATTTTTAGACTGGCAGTGGTATTTATGTAGCTGTTTTTTGATGAATTTTCTGGAATTTTGTTAGGTTTTAATACTTTAATAAAATAAGCCCTTTTACAAAATCATTGCTGTTATTGCAAATATTTTTTATCTTTTTTGTTGGATTAATGATAGATGATTACAAATTTTCCGAGGTATTAGATTTTCAATTAGTTTAATTATTTTGAAATTGAAAAGTCTTCTTTTATCAAATAGAGGAATACTGTTGAGATTGTAAATTTATAGGTCAAGCTACTCTGCTTCAGCTTCTTCTTTGTTAGTTAATCTTAAGGCATATAGGACAGGTATCTTGTTTCTCAATTTCATTGTAGTTATTAATATTTTCAAGTATATGTATGTTAATTTAAACAATTCTGATTTATGGTAATTGTTAATAAAATTATATTTCTTACCGAAGAACAACAGCTTTCTTATGGCAGTAGAATAGTTGGTTCCACAGGAATACCATTAATTAAAAAAATTAATTTTATATTTATAAAATTATTAAAAAGGTGTACAGGTAAGAAAAGAATACTATTTATTAAAATTAATTTTTAATGCCAGGAGATAGGTGATAGAGCTCAGTTTTAAACTATTGTACATTTTATTAAGTGGCAAGGTGGTGTACAAGTTTTCAGAAATTTTAATATTTAATGTTGAAAAATCTGTTGTTTCTTAACAGTTTTTGTAGCTTTCTGATTATTGTTGATAATACATTTATTTTATATTTCAATATGAGTTTGCTCCTGGACCTCAACCACTTTTATGAATTATGGGAATATTGTATCAAATTTAGGTACTGCCTCGTATCCATTAGCTAAATATTTAGTTTTTAGATTTTCCACTCTATTAGACAATAACATTTACACCATAAAAAATTCAGTAGAGT